AGATACTGCATTTTATATGGTGATCTGAATCGTATTCATGCTCATATAAGGCTTATGTAACTTGATATGGCTATTTGTTGAGATGTCAGAGCTCATCATAGAGTGTAACTACATAGCCAAATACCACAAAATTTGCTCCACTTCTCAAACAAGTGAATGTGAGATATTTTTTTACTGACCACATGGTGCAAAGGCTGGGTCGAATTTTTGCTCCCAAAGTACCTTTTTTTTGCCACTGGGAGGCTTCTACTTTTTCAAGACAGAAGGATTCAAATCGACTTTATCCTGTGCTGTTAGTTGTGATTATGTTTTTTTAAATACAGAGGGCATGTTTGCAGATGGTATTTCAGTGACACAGGAAGTTGGAGATGTGATGTTCAGGATGCAGAGGACTTGCAAAAGCAAAGCACCATGATTATGGGTTACTGTCAAACTATTACATTTCTGAAAAACTTTTCTATAGAAAAATAACATGGAAAAGCACTTCAGTCTTAGAATACAGATTATGTTTTTTTAAATACAGAGGGCATGTTTGCAGATGGTATTTCAGTGACACAGGAAGTTGGAGGTGTGATGTTCAGGATGCAGAGGACTTGCAAAAGCAAAGCACCATGATTATGGGTTACTGTCAAACTATTACATTTCTGAAAAACTTTTCTATAGAAAAATAACATGGAAAAGTACTTCAGTCTTAGAATACAGATCATCAAAAGTCTGAACAGTAATTCTGCAAAATACATCATGATTCACAACTCAGAATGATTCCATCTGGGGTCACCACTTCACATCATTCATCCATTAATCCTTTTCCTTACTTTCAAGTAACACGTTCAAGAATTACCTCATGTTGCCACATGGTGAGATGAGGTAATTCCTTCATGCTTTATTTGAAAGTAAGGGAAAGAACAATGTATTTTGCAAAATTATTGTTCAAACTTTTGATGTTCTCTGCTGTTACACTGTTAAGTGCCTTTTCATCTGCACATACATGTGAGCATGACCCCCCTACATGGACCCCTCCCCTCCCACCCATCCACGGTTTGGAAACCATTGGGGACCACTGCATTAAAGGATCAGCAGAGGTGGGACCAGAGAAAAGAAGGAAGGGGAGCTGTGGGCTGAAATGCAACTTGCATTACAATCATTATGAACAGTAAACTCTTGAATTAGTGCACAGCCCCTATATGAGCACTGACTGAAATTTCAGATGTAATACAGGATGTGATTCTCCAAAGTAGTTGCACCCTCAGTCATACATCGGGTCACATATATGACTGCACAACTGAGATGTGCTCTGGCATCTTGCCAGTTCAATGCAATTTACTCTGGCAAGTTATGCAAACACCCATAGAGCTGTTACATGGCATCCAAGGTTAAACTAAAAGGTAATCTAAGCCAACTTCCACTTTTTCAGTGATGATGCCAAATTTATGGAGTTCATTCCCTACTTGAAATTTTATTAGTGGCTATTTGGTGACTCTGAGGGGATGTAAATGAATTTCACCAGGCTGGGTCATACTAATAGGGTTGAGTGAGGGTTAACTGCTTGGCTACAGATCTGTAGTGTTGACTTTTAAGTGATTCTGAAATACGTTTTCAAAATGTAGTTAGCTACCCCTTGAGTATCTGCCAAGGTAGGATAAAATATGCATAACAGATCATAGTAGCACCATCCTAGAAATTTCTCCAAAACGTTGCAGAATTACTTTCTCATCCTGCATCCATATGATCAGTACCACTGAATCTGTTGTTTTATTGCAACCTTGCATGCTGACTGTAGCTTGACAGGGAGAGGCTTTTCTGGGCTGGGTTAATTATATACCCAGCATTAACCAATTGTTCCTTACAGCTTTTGAATTCAAAGAGAGACCCACTTGTCTGCTAAGTTTTCTTTCCCTCTCTTTAGTCTATTGGTGTCAGTTATTTGCTGTTGAACTGTTAAGTTGGTATATGAGTAGTAAAGAAAGCAGCATGTACAAGTCTCTAATTTCAAGGAACTGTATATAAATGTATTCGCGAAGGTTCTCACGGCCGGGATCTAATGGTTGTTGGGGTTTTTTCGTTCTGAAGGTTGTTCTTCCTAACGTTTTGCCAGTCTCTGTGGCCGGCATCTTTAGAGGACAGCACTTCGCAATTTGGAGTCACGGTGAAGAAAAATTGGAAGAATTTCTGGACCATCTCAACAGCATCCACCCAAATATACAATTCACCATGGAAAAAGAAATAGAGGGCCAACTCCCGTTCTCAGATGTCATGGTCCTACGCAAAACTGACCTCCAACTGGGACACAAGGTCTACAAAAAACCCACTCACACAGACACAAAAATTCCAACCACCACGCACAGCAAAAAAGAGGCATAATCAAAACACTGGTAGACCATGCAAATCGGAACTGTGAAGCTCAGTTTCTCAGCACTGAACTCAACCATCTGAATTGGGCCCTACAGGCAAATGGCTACTCCAAAATGAAATCACAAGATCCATCAAACCAAGAAAACAACACCAAACTGAAGAAGAAAAACAGCCACCCACATATAAAGTAGTTCTGCCATACATTAAAGGGGTCACGGATCGCATGGGGAAACTTTTGAAAAAACACAACCTACAAACAGTATTCAAGCCCACCACAAAAACACAACAAATGTTACCGTCAGCAAAGGACAGAAGGGACCCCCTCACCACTGCAGGAGTATATCGGATACCTTGCAGTAGTGGCCAGGTATACCTTGGAACCGCAAAACAAAGCATCCACACCAGAATCAAAGAACATGAGAGACACTGCAGACTAAAACGACCAGAAAAGTGTGCAGTAGCTGAACCTGCCCTAAAACAAGCTGGGCATGAAATTCTATTTCGAAATACTGAAATACTGGACAACACCAGCAATCATTACGTCAGATTGCACAGGGAAGCAATTGAAATCCACAAGCACCAGCAGAACTTAAACAAAAAAGAGGAAAGTTTGAAACTCAACAAAACTTGGCTTCTAGCTCTGAAAAATACAATGTGCAAAAGGTCAGTGACGTCTACCCAGCTACAAGGACTGGGGATCACCACACACAAAAAAACAGCTAATGACACCCATCAATCACAGTGACAGATAATCTCTCTTCCTTATCACAACAATGCCCCCACAACAAGACACACTAATCACCCATCTCCTGAATAGGACTAAAGCCTATCTCACAGCCATAAATACTCCACTCCCAAGCAAACTACACCAGAGCACAGAGTGCTGTCCTCTGAAGATGCCAGCCACAGAGATTGGCGAAACGTTAGAAAGAACAACATTCAGAACACGGCCAAAGAGCCCAAAAAACCCACAACAACTGTATATAAAGTTTTTTTTTAAAAAAAACCAAAACATTCCTGCTACAAATGTCTCTGAGAGAGTTACTTGGGCTTTAAGTGCCACTCACTGAGAGAAGGGGTGGACCCTGGGAAACTTCTAGCTATTCTCTGTAGATCTCAGTACCTCTACTGCATAGCAAAATGGGGAATTTTGCCAGAAATTCAAAACTCTGCAACACTATCAGAAATAAATTGTCCCATCTTAGCTCACCAAAGGATCTGCTCCATTTGTCTGCTTGTTTCAACATAACCCAGCTGAAACTAGCAGCCTCTAAAATGGTTTCTTACAGAAACAAGTGTCATGAAGGACCATCCTGGAAATGCAGAGCTGGAAGGAACACTATGGATCATTGTGTCCCGCTCCTGTCAAGAAGGCACAGAGGGGAATTGAACTCCCAACTTCTGGCTCCACAGCCAGATAGCTAAACTGCCACTAGCCTTCACTGGGGTTCAGAAGAGGAAAATCTGCTTCTTCCTTCTGTCAGCCAAAATCAGAAGTAAGCAGCTTGATTTAAAACATGGGGATAATATAGGAACTGGCTCTAAATTGTACAGCTTTTTATTGTTTACTTCTTCTGTAGCATTTGTATGTGTTCACATGACACAAGCCATGGATCTGTAGAGCAATGGCTTACCATGAACAAGCAACATGATAGTACTGTACATTTCACTCTGTGTTTGTTTGATTGTGTTGTCTCTTGCTTTGTAACAAAAAGCGGGGGGGGGGGGGCGCAAA